GAATACTTTTCTGTATCCAGAACTTTTTTGATTGAACATACATTTAAAAGCAATTCTTTGCCTTCATTATTTTCTGTAATTTTTGAATCAATAGAAGGGCAATCTTTGGCAACACTAATGTCATAACCGCATTCACTAAGATGGTCAGCTAGTAAACCTACAAAATCGTTTCTAGACGCATTACGGTGGGATGCATTATAGAGATGAGTTTCTAAAGATGCGTTTGGTTTAAAAATCCATTTGCCATCAAGAGTAAGTGTTTTATCACAATGAGCTTCCTCTAAGTCGGGATATTCCGCGACATTACATCGATAGCTGATAAAACGAAGTAAATCTTCACGGTCTGTCGGCAAATTATCACCACGTAAATCTGTTAGAACATGCATTACATTTTGATTTAACTTTCTAACGCGGTGCAACATCTGATATGCTTCATTGCTTGTTAGACCGGCTAATGTGCGAAAATGAGCAAACGTCATATCGAAGTTTTCTATTGTTATACTTACACTGCAAGTTATGACTGGAGTTGCTATTAAATAATCGAGATTTGCCACTGCATCGTTAATATCAGCAAATATGTTTTTTTTCTCTGTTTCTGATAGCCATTTGGAAAAACATTTACCTCGATATCCATGAGACGCCAATTCTTTATAAAGAGCTTCTGCCATTTCCGCACTAGCAAATATTGGAATATAGACTTTTAATCCTTGTCTCAGAGCTCCAATTAATTCAGCATTCCATTTTTTGGTATTAATATGTATAAGAGCATGACATTTATCTCGTATATGCTGGTTCTATATCACGGTTGAATTTTAGGCATCTATTTTCGAAATATTTTGTAAATGTACAAGTGAGTCTGAATCTAATGTAACATCTAAAGCCAATATCAATAATGCAGATTGAAGCAAGGATTTATATACGTCGTGGCTCAGCTTCAGTTTTTTCATAGTAGGTCCACTAAAATTCTGAGTGATAGTTTCAAACTCATCTAGTATAATTATATCATAGCCAGTTGCTCCAAGTTTGTGAATGCTTTCGGGACTGATAATGAGTTTCGGAGTATCTTTAGGATTAAGCTTTTTCATATCCAGTTCGAGATAAGACTTAAACCCTTCGAAAAGAACTTTTTGACCATGGGCTAGACTATGCCGGCTGGAAATGATAAGAATTGAAACGGAAGAACCATCAGAATGACATAGTGTTTTTATTTTCTCTGCTGTCTTATTTGATTTGCCAACACTGCAATGTTCTTTAATAAGCATCAAGTGCTGGTTACCGCTTGTAAGTTTAGCTTGTAAATTATAGCAACGCATTATTTTAGCATTATATATTTCGATGTTTTTTCCAATAGCAGTAAAGTTATTTTGTGAATGAGATTGTAATATATGCTGAAGCCGAGATCTTAATCTATCTAAACGTGAAATAACTTTTTTCTTCTTACTGGTCCTGCTATTGTTGTCTGCTCTAATGACTTCGATACCAGATTCACCTTTTTTTTGCCTAAAACAATAAAGAAAATAATATGATCCACGCCATCTACCATACATACCTTTTCTCGTGTGCTCTTTTTCACAGATCAAACATGTTGTAGGCAGAGTTCTATCAAAAGTATCAAAACTATTACTAGAATTTCGATAAGACAGAAAAGGAAATTGTTCTTCTACTATTTTTATTGCAGTATCACTCTGCTCACGTGAAACAGACTCATTTTTCAATTTTTTCTCTTCTTCTTCCCATTCATATGGCCAGAGTTCTGTGGAATCTTTCTCAATATGAGTAATAAGTGACTCTCTCCAAGTATGATTTGAACAAATGCACTTAATGCGTGAAGAGTCTTTGGCTTTATGACTTCCCGCTAGTCGAAAGCAATGGAGATCTTTGTTTACTTTTTCATCAATAAAAGGATGCATTCTTTCTGGAAGAAGTTCTAAGATTTGTGATGTAAATTTTCGAGCTTTGGATGCACCACGAACGAAATATCTAGGTAATATCAAATGTTTACTCCATTTAGACTCATTTGAGGAATCAGCTACAAGAAGATCATCTTTTGAAAGATTTAATCCAGTTATTTCTTTTATAGCAATTCGAAGAGCATTTTTAATATATAAATAAATCTCATCTTTTTTACGTGTAACTTCAGTTGACTTCTGCCATGAATGAAAATATGTATTAGTGATGAAATCATCAAACGATTTCTGTCCAAGAGATATTTTTATTCTATCTAAAGGATCGGGATATGATGCAAATTTTTCTAATTCACCATCCACATCAATCTTGATTTTTTGTGATTGCCCAGTCCGAATAACTTCATGAAATGTACGCTGGTTTTCAGGTATCGATTCATGCCATATTTCAAACTCAGATAAGTTATGGAAATATCTATAGCAATGAGAGTATTCTTGCCGGATAATCCATCCTTCAGGTTGAACATTTTCTGAGGCATAAAGACATTCTTTTCTAGGGCAATCAGAGCGGTTAAGATATTTATATTTTCGCAAGACTTGTTGTTTATCTCTTGTTAGATTTGGTAAATCATCCCCAGAATCGCTATTATATTCTGAGTTTTCATCTGATAAATAATCATATTTTGAATGCGAATGCCAAGATATTTTATTGATTTGTATATATGTTGTTTGTATATGTGCATTGTTTGATCTGACAAAAAGTATATGTTATTGAAACTATATTAATTGGTAGATAAATCTTTAAAATAAAATTAATTATTCCAGAAATTTTAGCTGGACGCCAAAAAAAATTATATATTTGATTGAAGTAATTATTATATATAATCACGATGATATTATACCATTGCTCATATATTCATAGAACTGGAAAAATCTGTGGTCGACGTAGTAAATCAAAAAGATGTTATATTCATCGTAATTCTCCAATACCTACTCCTTGTAGAGATTGTGGTGAGCCAAATAGATCTAAATATAATGCATGCAATAAACACGTGGAAAAATATAAAAGTAAAGAGAATTATGACAGAAAAAAGCAGGATGAGTTATGTGCACAAATTACCATGTTTAAGAATTATATATCTGATTTCCCCGATTCTATGCACGAAGTCTAATCATATACCTGGCATACGTATATATTGATTATTTTTTCCAGGACCTCTTATTTTGGAAAAATGGCACTTATGTGCCTAAGTAATGTTATATCCTCTTTGATCCCATTGATATTTTTAGTAATTTTATTACGTAAAGCTATAGATTCTAAAATCTTCAATCTATTCCGTGTCTTGTTCGCGTCTATTTTTTGATAGAATTACAATAACCACGACCTATTCAATTTTTTTAGGTAAATACTAGAGATTCTGACCGAGATAATTAATTTTGATTTGAAAAAATAAGTAGGCTAATGTATAATCAATCTACTTATCGATATATATTATTTACATATCTATCATGACAACCGTCCGAAGAACTAGAAAACCCAAAACTAATAGCTTTACTTCCATTTTGGATCAGATCCTTGATAAATACAATCTATCAGCTGAATCAAATCCGCTTCAATTACGTGCTCATGCCGATGAGCTTGGTACTATGCTACCAGATTGGAAGGCTCGTAAAGATGTGAAAGAGGCTCTTCACCGGCGCCTATTCAAAAACAATCAAATAGAAGCTCTTGTACCAGACAAAAGGGGGAAAAAACTTACTATCAAGGAAAGAGCTCAATATTGTGCAAAAACTGAAGATATATGGGATATTTGGTTACATGCTTTAGACTTAGCTGTTCCAAAAAATAATACAGATAAGGTGATTGTGGCGGCCAGTTCCTGTCTATCGCAATTTCGTAAAGAATTAGCAGAAGCTGGAGTTGATCCTGAGCAAATTAATACATATGCCAAATTACCAAATGTTACTCGAGCTTCTAACAAAATTCAGAAGAGAAAACTTGAACGGGATTAATCAGTCGACCTAAAACGCCTAAACACTTCTCCTTAGAAGAGGGGCTTAGAAGACTTCAGAATATCCATACCACTGAGACCCTCACTCTACAAGATCTCGCAGATGTGATCATGATGTTGAGCATGAGACCCGCTGAAGTAACTACTCTTCGCATTATCCATTATGAGCCTGACGAATCAAATCCTCCGGAATGGTATAATCCCGATTACTCTTGGTATTGTACTGGGTATATTAAAAATAAAGGAGAAGCAAAAAATAATTCTGAACCTCGACCGTTTCTATCCATGGAAAAGAATCCAGAACGTGCAAGAGAATTGCTTACCTGGATTCAAAATGCAATAGCGATTGGAAAGTTGCGTAATCCTGTCTATAGTATTAATGGAAAACGTAGTACAGGTATATTTAGTAAATTTTTAAAGCCATATGGCATTACAGCTAAAAGGTTAAGAAAAATCGGAGGCAAACATGCTTCTAGAGTTCATGGTGATCAAAATTCAACCTCACAACATCTCGCTTTCCTCAGCAGGATTGCAATGAGGCATAAGATAGATCATCATGATTCTGGAATGTATTATGCTGAGGGTGATACTTCCGATTCTGATCTTGACTCAGATCTAGAGCCTGAACCCGAAACTCAAGCTTTTATAACTAAACCAATTGATAAAAATACTTCTACATCTGAAATTGAGGATATCTAGATTAGTGATATAATTAGTTATTAATCGTCAGATGCAATATGTTTACTAATCACACTTCTTCGCTTTCACCACATTCACAGTAAAATCTTTATTATAGTTGCCGGAGGTAGTCACTTCGTAGCTAGACGATTCAGAGTCGGACCCAGATAAAAATGAGGACTCAGATGCGGTATTATTAAAATTTAGTTTTTTTCTAGCTTTGCATTTTCTTTTAGCCTTGCATGGTGTATGATTTCTTCGAGAGATATCCGGGTTTGCTATTGAGTTTATAAGTTCTTGACGAACCTCGGGTTTTACTATCTCCAGTAATCGGTGAAGAGAGATCCAGATTTTTTTACCCGATACTTGCTTAACAATATCAGATACCACTTTATCGGTAATATGTGCCTTGGCACTAGCTTCGCTATTGGATAAACTTTTATCTTTTACGAAACCAAATTTTTATAAGGTATAATTGAACATTCTGAATCTGAATCACAAAATACTTCTGTACCCCTATTATTGATCGATATTGATATTTTTTTCACTGATTCTAATAGTGATGTGATTTCATTATCATTCTCTTGTAAATTCTGATGAGCTGGCCCAATATTGCTATCAGCTTCGGTCATTGTAAATGCGAAATTATTATTTATTAATACGAATTTAAAAATGCAAAATTAAATATATTGTTATAATAAAATGTCACGATGAGAATTTTATCTTGCAAATTAGAGCGGAGCTCATTATTTCATAATATAAAGTACCAATTAAACTATATCAGATACATCTGAAATAGCAAATATACAATGAGTTATAGCAGAGTATTGCAAAGCAATGGCCTAGAGGGCCTACGAGATAGGTTAAGTGATTATGGTGTAAACTATATCGTTAACAATATTAAAACATCAGAAGCATGGTTACGGTTTGCAAAATATTATCCACCAAAATATATACGCAAACGTTTATTAAAATTAGGATATGAAATAAATAATAGAGATTACTGGGAAAATTCTGTATTTCGTATCAAAAATAATTTAACCAACCACCAGCAAATAGGTAATGACCCTAAATATAGGGATTTTAAAATTCAATTAGCATTATATGAAAAAGGTCATGCATTATTAATTATCCAGAAGACATATCATTTATGGAGAAAAAAAATTAATTCCGCTAAAATAATCCAGCATGCAGTAATTAAATGGCTTTATAGACCTGGTGGATCATTTATGAAGCAAGCCAAAGATCGATATCATCAACGGGTAAAGTTACTTTCAAAATCCATTAACGGCCGGAAAATTATTAACCAATCACATCATGGGTATGATCGACATAGAAGTTCGTGAAACATGTGATTATCGTTATTTTTTCGTTTATATAGGGTGGGAAAATGCTTCTACGTATAGAATATATGCTTTTACGATAGTAATATGCGCAAATGAAACTCGAAAAGGAAATAAGGACGAATAGCCTGTTGATTCTTATCAGCACCGTTACTAGAAAATGTTAGTTATGGGACTTTGGAATCTCCGCAATTCCGGATCGTCCTTGCGATTAACCAACTTCGTGTGATCGCCGAGATAAAAGGGATTTCATTCATGCATCTATGACTTATTACTCCGCATATTACATACCTTAGCGTTTAGTTACATATGACAATACTTTCTATGGAGGCTGAATTGTGGCAGGTTTGAAAATTTCTCTGTTTCTGGTATTTATATGATTCTACTATTGCTATGAATCGGAGATTTGTTTGATAAAGTAGTCAGTAACATGATAGATCATTCTAGCAAGTTCAAGGTCGAAGGGAGATATAAATAAGCAGGTTCAGGGAGGCTTTATTTCTTAGGATACTTCATATCTCGTACAACGTCTTCCCACGAATTTTAACACTTTATACTAACTTACGCTAAAGGTATGATTGTTTACGGTAAATACCTATGAAAGCGAAATTTCCACTCACTATGGATTTTATATTTAGGAAACGCAGTAATGGCTACTATTAGTCTCGAATGCCTTATTAATCCCGTTCACGCATTCACCGGTCTTCCAAGAGATGCTGTTATTCAAACAATTACAATCCCCAGTGGGGCGAGAGACGATGATCTTGAAACTGAAATTCGGAACCAGTTACCACCTCAATTTAAAAATGTCCCTTTTATTATTCGTGCATTCCACCCCGGTGGTGTAAGATATATAGTTGTGCAACCGCAGACTTTGATTTCCGATTATTTTAAAGAGGGTCCTCCCGCAGGTGTTATCCACATCCTTGTAGAATCCTAAGCAGAATGTATATTTGTATCTGCCTTATTACGGGCAATGTATTTCGTTTCGTAATGTTTTGCATGGATTTTATCCTATAATAAAACAACGACGCGTTAGGCGTGATTTCAGTAGTTTCATCGTGTACATTATCTCCTGATCAATTCGTGTAACTTTTATCGCATGTATATAAACCAGCAATCACCCAAAAATAGATGCGATAAAAAAATTTTTTTTTCCGGACCAATACTCGCACAGCACAAATTTTCGTATATAAAGTAGTATACCTACCATGTCTATTTCCAAAACCGAACACGATGCATATTTAGTCGAAAACCGGGATACCGAAACCCTTATCCTTCACCTGGCCTAAAGCTTGACGATGAGGACTTCGCTATTATCCGCAAACGAAAAATCGATGGCCAAGTTTTTCTCAAGTTGACCAAAGACGATTTCATGCAGGCAGGATTGGAAATGGGACCAGCTATAAAACTCGCCGATGAAGTCAAATCTCTCAAGACCATGCCGAAGCGTCCGTTCTCCTCATACCACAGTTTGAAAGAAGTGCTGGCAAAATATGGAATGGAATCCGAAGGCATAGACGCAATTCCACTATTCAGTCCGCCGATCCCTCACAGTATTCAGGATGACGATGTGTATTTCGAAGAATGTATCACGGAAATTAACAAAAGGCTAAGGGATTATGGTACCTTATACCCGGATAGTTTGGAAGCCATGCGTAATGAGTACGTAGTTGCGATAATCCATACAGCTCTCCATATCGTCAGGGATGAAACAAAAAAAGAATTTAGCATGAGGCCACAACAAGAAATTATCGGGGAAGAAAGTTCCGGGCGTGTCGATTATGCAATTAAGGTATAATCTATAAATTTTACAGAAAATATACTAATAAAACTGATTTCGCTAACACTTTATTATTCCAGGATTCTGAGGATCTTATTTGCATCACGGAGGACAAACAGCATAAAATTCCTATGGGCTTTGCGCAGAACATCAAACAGCTAGAAAGTTCATTCGAAACTAACAAGAGAAAACGCAAGCGGGATGAGGCATTCGATGACGACTTCGACTATCTCTACGGTATTGTAACCACAGGGCGGGATTGGCACTTCCTGTTATATAGTCCAGGTGAAATTGCACAGGCAAGCGAATCCGCCTATACGATCGAATTTAACAAAAAATCCTTGGATAAGGACTCGGAAGAATGTCAGGCTTTGCATAAGAATGTGAAAAAGGTTTTGGAAATGATTGTCGGATTATTAAAGGATAGGGCATGTGTTGAAAAATCGCCAGCAAGTAAACGAACCAGAATAGAGGGGTATCGAACAAAAAAATAATGGGCATATAGTTTTCCGCTTCACATGTATTTTTTATTGTATTAGCGTGAGCAAGCCTTCGGCTAATAAAGCAATTTTTATGTGCGATATTTTCCTCCAAATTTATTTTGGCGTTTACACTTCCTGAACTAAGTTCAGTGATTTTTATCACGTGATTTATATCTATGATAAAGAATTGAATATGTCCGCACCTTATATAAAACGATGGCAGACACACAATATACAATTGTTTCGCTAAGAGAATTAAACACCAAGCTTACAGTTGAGATTAGCGAACTAAGAAAGAAGTATGCTGAGCTTGAAGCTAATAATATCGAAGTCGAAGC